AAAAAAAAATTCTGGGACTGGGAACGTGGCTTAGTGGTAAAGTGCTTGCCTAGCATGCATGAAGTCCTGGGTTCAATTCCTCATTACTACATAAAACAGAAAAAGCCCAAAGTGGTGCTATGGTTCAAGTGGTAGAACGCTAGCCTAGAGCAAAAGATGATCAGGGACAGTACCCAGGCTCTGATTTCAAGCCCCAGGACTGGCACCAAAAATTTAAAAGAATTATTTGTTTCATTTAGTCATTAACTTCAGGCCAGGTGTCCGAAATCCTGGAATCTGAGATTGGCATGGGCAACATGGATAGAACCACTCTCAATAAAAAATAAACAATTTAACCTCATCAAGGAGGAAATTATGGCTGGGAATGTGGCTTAGTGGTAAAGTGCTTGCCTGGTTTCAATTTCTCAGTACCACATAAACAGAAAAAGCAAGAAAAGGCTCTGTGGCTCAAGTGGTAGAGTTACCCTTGAGCAAAAAAAAGCTCAGGGAAGCCGGGCGCTGGTGGCTCACGCCTGTAATCCTAGCTACTCAGGAGGCTGAGATCTGAGGATCGCGGTTCAAAGCCAGCCCGGGCAAGAGAGACTGTGAGACTCCTATCTCCAATAAACCACCAGAAAACCGGAAGTGGCGCTGTAGCTCAAGTGGTAGAGTGCTCGCCTTGAGCTGAAGAGCTGAGGGATAGCGCCCAAGCCCAGAGTTCAAGCCCCACGACCGACCAAAAAAAAAAAGCTCAGGGAAGCTAGGTGCCAGTGGTTCACCCCTGTAATCCTAGCTACTCATGAGGATGAGATCTGAGGATTGCGGTTCAAAGACAGTCAGGGTGAGAAAGTTTGAGAGACTCTTATCTCCAATCAAACCACCAGAAAATTGGAAATGGCACTGTGGCTCAAGTGGTAGAGCACTGGCCTTGAGCTGAGGGACAGCGCCCAGGCCCAGAGTTCAAGCTCCAGGACTGGCAAAAAAAAAAGAGGAAATTCAATTGGAGCTTGGAGACACATGCTTGTGATTCCAGCACTCAGGAGGCTGAAACAGGAGGATCATAATTTTAAGGACAGCCTACACTATACAGCAGAGACCCTGTCTCAAAAAAAAAAAAAAAGATTAACTCTAAAACTTGAACATACAAAAAGAACCCCGTCTTATTTTCCATTAATTGTTGGATGTTTGCATTGGCAGAATAACTCCTAAATTGTTTTTGTAAATATACTAGGAAGTATTTTACACTCCCACTTGTGTTTGCAACATTCTTCCTACACTTTCTCCATTCCAATTTAACCATTTCATGTCTCTACAAACACCACTGCGCATTTTCAGCTGTTTCAATTCTTCTTTTTCCAAGGTGGAAAAGGTAGAAAACCTAACAAAAATGTACCAAACTTTTTTCCTTCCCTTTCATTCATTGGACTTATCTCTACCTGCGCAATATAACAAGAACTCATGCCTTAAAAAGGCAATCATACTATAACACACACGACTTACAACTTAACAAAAGGTCACTTTATGTTACTGTCAACCACACAACCTTCATATCAATGAACAAGCTTTGAGAATAAGTAATTGCTATAGAAAGTTAAGATACTTGGTGGTAAAACGTTCTGCTATATTGGCTCCATGGTATCGACAAGACTCCAGAAGCAGAATACTTACTGTAATTAACATTCATGCTTAAAAAAACAAAAAATTAAACATAATAACACAGGTCTAAGAGCCAAAAAAGGAATGGCCACTATTAAAATGGCAAGTCACTAGTACAGAACGTTACTGAGAAAGGAAAACTAACATATTACCAGCCTGTCGAAGGTAGCTCATTGCTAATCCTAGCTACTCATGAGGCTGAGATCTGAGAATCTAGGTTCCAAGCCAGCCCACCAGAAGACTTTTATCTCCAATTAACCACCAAAAAATCGAAGTATAAGTGTGGCTCAAAGTGGTACAGTGCTAGCCTTGAACAGCAAAGATCAGGACCAGCACCCAGGCTGGTAAGTTCAAGCTCCCAGTACTGACAATTAAAAAAAAAAGTTCTTACCACTTCTCTTGTTTTATATATACATTAATCTAGTGAGCAAATAGCTGGTATATTTTATGCACTAACTGTTCAGTTGCCTTGAAATAGGGGAGGGTTTGGCTTGGGAGAACAAACCCAAGCCAATCTGGACACATCCAATAGGGCCACAGAAAGGTGGCCCTATTGATCATTACCTACTTAATTATGCTAGAGCCTAAAACTGGGTCTTTACACTGTGTGCTATAAGTTTATATACTAACACCTTGCTTACAAAGCAGTGACAAAAAATAAGATGTTCACTGAGTAATGGAAAGCAATATATCATCCTCATCAATTTCACTCACACTTGTAGTCCTAGCAACTAGGAGGTGAGATCTGAGGATCACAGTTCAAAGCCAGCCTGTGAAGGAAGTCTGTGAGATTCTTATCTCCAATTAACCACCAAAAAGCCAAAACTAGAGCTGTGGCTGAAATAATGAAAAACCTAAAAGACAATGTTCAGGCCCTAAGTTTGAGCCCCATGACTGGCACAAAAAGAAAAAAGAAGGGGCTGGGAAGGTGGCTCAGTGGTAGAGTGCTTGCCTTGCATGCATGAGGCCCTGGGTTCGATTCCTTAGCACCACATAAGTAGAAAAAGCTGGAAGTGGTGCTTGAGCTGAAGAGCTGAGGGACAGTGCACAGGCCCAGAGTTCAGGCCCCACGACCAGCAAAAAAAGAAAAAAGAAATAAGTTCAATAACTTACACAAGTTTGTAATGGTGCACAGTGTGAAGTAAGTTTAATGAGACAATTTTCTTTATATACTCACTCTTCCCCTAAATTATTCAGTTCCAACAACAACAACAAAAATGTACACCAAAGAATTCCTACAGTAGAAACTTGATATGGGTGAAAAAATAACCCTACCCACAAATTTTAGAAAAAAATAATTAATACTAAGACAAAATCTTAGTACTAAAAGTGAATTAATTTCAATGTTAAAGATTGTTTTCACATTTAGGACTCTAATAATTACTCAAAGGTATTTCTAGGAGCAAAAACAGTTTTTGTTGTTATTTGTCATGTGAGACACTACAAAAATAAGTTAGCCTAAGTATTACAAGTTAGCCAAGTATAGATCAGGTTGGTATGTAGAATGCAGTAGTGCAACTGAACATTTATTTAAACAGAACTTCAAAACAAACCTGCTCCAATCAGTCAGAATTAATCAAAATAAAGTATATAAAGTTTTCCCTCCAATATTCAAACAATATTGACTGGCTCAAATGTAAAAATCCATTATCACATTACACAGAAACAACATAAAAATGTACAGGAAAATGTATCCAAAGATAATCTAGGGCTGGAGGTGTGGCTAGTTAGGCCCTAGTCAAGAGGCCAATTCAAAACTACAGTACTGCAAACACCTAAGAGGGTGAATGACAATGTAAGAGAAGTGCAAATGAACACAATTTGGTATGTATGGATATATAAATTTTGAATGAAGACAAATGAAAAAGAAAATCCCTGAAGAGTATACAGAAGCTTCAAGTATTGTCACAGATCAAAGTTCATACACAGCCAAGGCTAGAACCTTACTTAGGTAAGGAAGCACTGCAGGATTCCTACTTCTCAATTCGTGTAGATTAAGTTAAACTCCTGGCTTATGACACATTTATTTTAATAAATAAACAATTCAAGGCATTCTATTTTCACCCTTTAAAATGAAGCTCACTTGGAAATATGCTCTAGAAGTTTGTACAAACTTAAAGGGAACATTCAACTACACTGCATTCTCACTGGCAGATGGAGGGATGACGTTGAGCCTGTTCTCAGGGAGTTAAAGAGATGTTTGTAGTAAGGAGGAACATCTTGTAGACTGTCAGATGGCCAGCCATTCTTCCTCTTCATTATCCTGGCATCTCAAAACAACTAGACAGCAAAAAAGGAGGTTTGTAGGAATCAAATTTATAACCTGACACTAACAGTAGGAAAATAAAGAAGGGGATGTGAGTTATCCCTGCTTTTTCCCTAACAAAGAGACTGTCTACAACCGGGTAGACAACCCATGACTTTTTAAAAGAATCCGTAAGCCTTTCAAACTCAAACTTCAATCTTGAAATACATTTTAAGAGCAAAACAAAAATCATATGCAAACACCAACAGCCAACTTAGCACATTTTAAACTTTCATGTTTGAAGTTCATGACTGGAACTCTCTGAACTTCTCATCTTGTATTTCAAGGTCTATAATTCCAGAAAACCGTATGTCTTTTCCCCTAAATAAGAAAATGCCTCTGCTTGCTCTATCTGAAAACCCAGAGTTTCAGACATTTTGGTCTCACATCAAAAAACGGGGGGGATGTAAAGTGAACTGCGCTCCATATTGATCCTTAAAGCAAACAAGGGGGGGGAGTAATTAAGAATAGTACGTAAAATAATTTTGTTCAACTTCACATCAAACTTGAGATCAGGCACCACACACACACACACACACACTCTCTCTCTCTCTCTCTCTCTCTCTCTCTCAACACTCCATTCCTCAACAGAAAGTCTTGTACTACGGGGCAAAAGCCTTGAAAAGAAAAAAGTGGGAAAGTAGAGGAAATCGAATTAAAATTGAAAGAGGCAAAAGGATTTGAAATCCCTCCTTTACCACCACCAGCAGAAAAGCTAAAACTAAAATTGCATAAAAATCCCTTACACACAAATGCACTGGCATTTCCCAAATTAAACTGCACGGAGCCAACAATAAAGGGCATTTCCATGCAGCCCTCACGAGCTCCAATTCCAGAACACACATCGATATGACATGACATAGTGTTGCAACAAAATGTATCAGGAGGCAAAGAAAATGGTTGGGCTACTGGACCCATTCAAACACCTTTCAAATTAATTACGGGGCAGGGAACTAAGAGGAGACACGGGGGGAGGGGGAAGAAGATACTGAAGAATAAAGGTGCACGAAGGAGGAACGATTAAGGAGAACGTGGAAGGCCCTGGACTCCCGAGACTAACCTGTGCCGTCGCTGGCGGACGCCGAGAGGGCCGGAGACGAGAGTTTAGGCCGCTTGGCTGAAGGCGGCCCCGGTTCCACCACATTCTCGGCCATTTTTAATTCTTTCGCAGATTGAGGCAGGGAAAACGCGAATCCTCAGGAAATCTCTTCTTCGGCCGGGGATCCCCACCCCGCTACGGAGAGGGGGGAGTGGGCTTTGGGGGGGGTCTCCGTCGACACCGACGGGGGTGGGGGAAGTTCCTTTTTCTCTTCGCCGGGTGGCGGTGGCCGGGAGAGGGATGCGATCTCGGTAGAAAAGGTAGGGGCAAGTGCGAGGGGCCGGGCCTGGCCAGGCCCGGAGGAGGGCTGAGCAGCACCGCCCGCGAGCGCGTCCGCTGCGGAGAATCCCCGGGAACTCGCGGCTCTAGAGGCGCAGTCCCCAGCCCGCCGCGGCCGGCCCCTGCCCAGCCGAGGTCTGCCGGAGCTCCGCCGCCGCCATCAGCCTCTTCCTCCTCGGCGCTGTCCTCCTCCTTCTCATCGCCACAAGGAGGCGGGGGCGAAACGGGGGGAGAGGAGGAGGCGACGAGAGACACTCACCTCCTCCCGGTGCCCCCTCCCGGGCCTGCGCCCCC